CGAGTAATAATTCTCCAAAAGCACTCCCACGAGCAAACAAAAGACCTTTGAGACTCTGGAGCGTAGATCAAAGAGATCCAAAAATAGTAGCAGCCAGCGGAAGCCGTGAGAACAGAAACAGAGCAGAAAGTAGAAACCAAAAGCAGGAAGACACAACCAGACTTGCAACCAAAGAAACCTGCCAAGCAAATTAGGAGAATCGCAAGAGGAATACAAAAAACAGTCCCTCAATGGTAAAGCCAAGAAGCACAAGAATCTAAAAACGAACATATGACATATTCAAATTATCCCCATTTAGGAGACGTCTGAGAAGAGCAGGAGGATAAATGCCAACGTAACAGGCCTCCCCTGCGTGTTTGGCTAACCAATCAGCAGGGGAGTTACCCTCTCTATGAATGAATTTCCAATTTACATCTAATTGCCTTTCAACCATTAAGGCTAAAATACGTTTAAAAGTGCAAATTATATCCCAGTGGGGAGGTGAGATACCCAAAAGAATATCATAGAGCATTTTAGAATTGATTTCCAACTCAATTTTATGAAAATTGAAAACACTAGCCACCATTAATGCCAGAAAAACACCCTCAGCATTCCGTGGCTAAATGATTGTCAACGACAACGGGAGAGGTGAAATAACAGAGACATCTACCCTCATAATTTCTAAATATACCCCCAACCGCAACATAGACAGGATTCCAATAGCCATCCACATTAACTTTAACATAACCCAATGAAGGGGGAGCCCACCTAATCAACCGGAGGGGTCTTAAAGTAGAAACATATATAGGACCAGCCCTTAGGACCTTAGTGTAATAAGCCATCACATAAGAGACAGTCATAGAAGCAATGAGGGGAGAAGAGTTGTATTTAAAACTGTTTCTCGAGGCCCAAACAACCAAAGGACTAATAAAGGAAGGAGAAACCCCCCACCCTTATCATCAAAATCATTCCATTGCCACAAATAGTTGCTTAAAATGCCCCTATGCAACCATGAAATACCAAAATGTATGCCCAGTATATTCCAGACATTTAAAGAGAAAACACATTAAAAAAATATGTGTCTTATATCTTCCTCCGCAACTTTACACATAGGACATCTCGAGGTCATTTTAAGGTCTTTCAACTTAAGAATGTCATCAATAGATAGTAAAGAATCTTTCAACCTAAGAATGTCATCGATAGATAGTAAATAAGAGAGATATCGCCAAAGGAAAAAGGATATAGAGGGAGTTAAGGATTTGTGCCAAATCCATTTTCCCCAAAACCAATCCCGGTGTGAATGTAAAGTGTCATATATAAGTTTGCAAATCGATTGAGAATTGAGAATTGTTCAGAATTGTTCCTTTTCCACACGGGGAGATCCTTGCGTGAAGGAGTGATAGAAATAGTAATTATATGCTTTGCATTTTGCTCCCCCACAATAGAACATAATTTGGAGAAATCCCAACCATCTTGAGAAAAGAAATCAGAAACCAATAAGAAGTTAGAATGTAGAGGGTGAAAGTATTCAGAGAGATGAGATACCCCCAATTATCATTCCAGAAAAAGATATTTCCGTCTCCTATATCCTAAAACATGAAATCCGTTGTAGTGGTTCTAGCATTTACAACTGCTTTCCAAATACGAGAATCACCAACCTTCCACATAACCTGTGAAAGATGAGTTTGGGCACAATATTTCTGATGCATAAAGCAAGCCCATAGAGATGAGCCCAATCTAAATTTGAACCAAAGTTTGCAAAGGTTTATTTCCACCGTATGTTTCAAAGCTTTAAAGCCTAACCCACCAGCCTTCTTAGGCTTACAAACCTTATGCCAAGAGCCCAAAATTTTCTTAGTACCATTTCCCACCCAAAAGAATTTGTTAAAATGCCTCTCCATAATATTGAAAGCACTTTTTTTTTGGGTTAAACACCTGCAAAACATATAATGAAATATTCTGAAGAACACTAGAAAGCAAAGAAACCTTGCCCCCAGTAGAAAGGAAAACATTTCTCCAATCGTTGATTTACACTTGATTTTATCAATTACATCATCCATATGTATTTTTTTCCTCCTTCCCCTAATCAAATTTACTCCAAGATATTTGAGAGGAAGAGAGACATGATGAAAGTCAGTAAAGGCAACTCCCCAACGAATAAGTTGGGGCTTAACGTGCTTGCCAAAAAACATCTGGCACTTGTCACAATTAAAGAGGAGTCCAGAACAATTCTGGAAATCCTTTAAGAGCCCCATCAATTGTTTTAGAGCAAACTTAGAGGCATTGACAAAAATAATCACATCATCAGTATAAGCAAGATGTGAAACCATCATCTTGGCCTTATGAGAAAACTGTGTGAGAGTGTGGAAATGGTTGAGCATCAATGGTTGAGCATCCTGGATAAATAATCGAAAGCTAAAATGAAAATAATAGGGGAGAGAGGAGAGAGGGTCCCCATGTTTGATGCCACAAGAAACAGTGAAAAATTCATAAGAATTATCATTTACCAGCACAAAATAATAGTTGTTAGTCAACCATCTTTTTATCAAGGTGTAAAAGCTGGTAGTGAAATCTCTAGCCTTCAAAACGTTGATGATGAAATCCCAATTAATGGTGTCAAAGGCCTTCTTGATATCTAATTTGACAACAAGATTGCCACTCCTGCATTTTTTATCAAGATCCTACAAAATTTCCTGAGCTAAGAGAATATTGTCAGAAATATCACGTCCTTTAATAAAGGCCGACTGGTGGGGGGAGATGAGAGAGGAATGTGTGGTTGAAGACGAGCCACAATCAATTTACTGATAATTTTAGATATCACAGAAGTGAGCGAGATGGGCCGAAAGTCCTTCCAATGAGTTTTATCGTTAGATTTAGGGATAAGAACAATCAGAGCGGCAGAAAAATACTTTCCAGGGTCTTCACCCTGAAAAAAACTTTAAATCGCGAGCACCACCTCTTTCTTTATGATGCTCCAGCAAGAAATATAAAAAGCAGAATTGAAACCATCGGGGCTAGGAGCCTTTTGAGAACTAATATTTTTAGGGGCATTGAAAATCTCCAACTTGGTAGGAGGGTCATACAAAGAAAGGGAGGAAACCGTGTCCCTCTGATCCTCAAACAATTTCGATAATATATCAGTGACTGGAAGAGTTTCAGCATAAAGAGAAGAAAAATAATCAGATGCATTGGAACCAATTTGATCTGCATCAGTGAGAACAGAACCCTCATCAGTAACAATCTTAATAATGGTATTTATATTACGACGATGTTTGATAGTAGCATGAAAATATTTAGTGTTTCT